GGCTTTTACCCTTAAATCTAACTAAGTGTTGTGTCCTTCACATCGGGAAGACAAATCCGCGATTTACATACAAGATCTCTGACCACAACATCGAAGCAGTTTCGAGACACACTGATCTGGGCGTTGTAGTCAACGATCGTCTTTCCTGGTCAGAGCATATTCACCACGTTACATCAAAAGCCAAGAAACTTCTATATATGCTGGAGAGGTCTTTCAAAGGATCCGATGTCAACACTTGCGCCTACATTTACAAGGCATTCGTGAGGCCAATTCTTGAATTCGCTGGCCCGGTATGGGACACTGTGCTTCTGCGCGATAGAAATCTCGTCGAATCAGTACAGCGTCGGGCTACTCGTATCCCTTTTGGAGCACGAAGACCAAGCTATGAAGATCGCCTTGAATTATTCAACCTGACCTCTTTCTCTGAGCGAAGACTTCGTGGCGATCTTATAGTTACCTTCAGGATACTTCATGGTTTGATGGGCACCAACCTCATGCATCTATACTGTCTGTCGCGCAGCAATCTACGCGGACACAGCTTCAAACTGCATAAGGAGCCATTTAAAACAACAGTCCGACAGTGGTTTCTTCCCAACCGCATACTCAACACCTGGAATAGTTTACCTGAAAGTGTGGTTGGTGCTTCAGTTAATAGCTTCAAAGTGCAGTATGATAGCTGGAGGAGTGTACAAACTTTATAGCTATGAACTGTATTTTTTTTATTTTTTTCTATTTGATGTATTTGTGTTACGTATCCGTACACTATATTTACTGCATGAGCTTATAGTACTGTGTACTCTGCTCATCTCAATAATAATAATAATAATAATAATAATAATGTAAAACAAACTTCAAACTGAAAAGGCGGCATCAGTGTTTAATGTCGACTATATAGTTCTTTTCATGATTTTAGACAGGTCACAGTAAAACTCCCACATACAGTAATGGACAAAAGTATATAGACAAATTAATATTGTGCTCCATTTCTTTTTTAACTTGTTTCATTAATACACCAACCTGTATACATAATTCATTATAGCATAATACTCACTTATACATAAATAAGTTCATTAGACCCCTTTCAATATCAAATTAATTGAAAAAAACTGGAACTATGAAGGACAAAAATATATAGACAAAGCAAAACAATTACAGAAAAAAAGAAGCAAAGTGTTAATATTTTGTAGCATAACCATTATTATCAATCACCGCCTGGCATCGTCTCGGCATAGATTGTAAAAGTTTCTTGGTATAAGATTCATCAATCTGTCTCCACTTTTGCTCTAAAGCGGCAAAAAGTTAGTCCTTGTTTGAATAATTTTTATCTCCTATTTGCTTATTGTATAGATTTTCACTGGGGTTTATATCAAGAGACTGAAGGTCATTTGAGAACTGGTATTTTTTCATCCAGAAAGAATTTCTTTCCGAGATTTGAAGTGTGCTTCGGGTCATTATCCTGCTGGAAGATTGATCTTAAGGGCGTATTGTCTTCCATATAGGGTAACATGGCATGCTTTAGTATGTCTGTGTATACAAACTTATCCATAATGCCATCTATTCTATGTAAAGGCCCCATCCCAAACCCCGAAAAGCACCCCCAAACCATAACAGACCCGCCTCCATGTTTGGCAGTGGGCAAAGTGTACTTGGGGTTCAATCTTTGTCCACTAGGACGTCTAACGTAATGAACACCATCTGATTCAAACATATTGAACTTGGATTCGTCACTGAAACATCCCCTCTTCTAGTCACAGATGCTCCAATCAAATACAGGGTACGGCACTGGAATGTGACACATTTTAACGCGCCACTGCCCGACACATGAATAGGTGGGGGAGTTCTGTTTATGACTGATGTGTTTGTTATTGTATGCAGTTTAGTAGCTATGGAGAATTGGCCGGTTAATCAACGCGTGTTCGCCGTGACGGCTTACATTGAAACAAAGTCTGTTATTACGGTCCAAAGACGATTTCGGGCTGAGTTTAATATTCCAAGACGTGGTCGCATTCCATCGCGGAACATTATTTTGCAATGGTTTAAGAAGTGGAATGCGCATGGAACTGTCTGTGATAGGTTTGCTGGTTCTTCCCGTACTGTGCGAACGCCTGAAAATATTCGAAGAGTTGAGGAAGCAGTAACAGCCAGTCCAACACGTTCAGCGAATAAACATGCAAGGGCTCTAAACCTATCAGATCGTACAGTGCGCCGTATTTTGCATGACGATCTTAAGTTTCATCCTTATAAAATACAGATTGTGCATCAATTATCCCCACAAGATCCACCTAACAGACTTGCATTTTGCAGGGAATTTGTAAGATTGTTGAGCGAAAGACCAGATCTGATGGATAATTTAATTATGTCTGATGAAACTCATTTTCATTTATCGGGTTTTGTTAATAAACAAAACTTTCGATACTGGTGTGCAGAACAACCAATGCAGTTGCATGAAAAACCTTTACATGCTGAAAAAATTACGGTTTGGTGCGGTATTGCAACCTTCGGGATTATTGGACCGTATTTTTTTTGAAGAGAATAATCGAACTGTAACCGTTACCTCGGAGCGATATTTGCAAATGCTACAAACATTTCTTACTGCCGAATTACGTAGATTGAGAGTTGAAGATCACGAAATATGGTTTCAACAGGATGGGGCAACTAGTCATACCGCTGGAATAGTTATGCAGTTTTTAAGGAATAAGTTTCCTGGCAAATTAATTTCCCGAAATGGAGACCTGGCCTGGCCAGCACGTTCTCCTGACTTAACGGCTCCAGATTGTTTCTTATGGGCGTACTTAAAGTCTAAAGTGTATGTAAACAAGCCCCGCACACTGGATGAGCTAAAGAACAACATAACTGAGGAGATAAGAAGAATTGATGGAAGGCTTCGAGGCATGTATAGAGTTTAATGGTGGACATTTAAAATCTGTAATTTTTAAAAAATAATAAACTGTTAAAAACTGCATTTAATGAGTATTATTTTACAAATTTTTACTTATTTTTACAACAAAATTGCTAATAAATACAGTGTACCGAAAAACGTCATATTCCACTGCCGGACCCTGTAGTAATCGGTCGCTTACGGTTTTTCCTCGAGATTAGCGGCTTCTTGTTCAGGCGACGTGCAAATAACTTCAAATCATTTAATCTTCTACTTATAGTTTTCGTAGAAACACTGACAATTCCTTTTGTCTCGATGTCGGCTTTTATTTGTCTTGGGGTTTTAAACGGATCTTTGGACGAAATTACTTTTATTAATCTAACTGATCTAGCATTTAGTTTCCTAGGCCGACCCCTTCTCTTAGAGGCTTCCAAGATACCTTTTTGTTTATATTTGTTCAATATTGCCCAAACTGCTTTACGCTTCAGCTTCAATTTTTTGGCAATGTCGACTTGACGTTGACCATCTTTGTATAACTCAGTGACCTTACTTTTCACATCGAAAGAAATTTCTGGACCACGCGGCATTTTTTTTTTTTTTTATATCGAAACAGCCGCGCAGGCAGAAGCCTAAATGCCGGAACACCGCGGCTGCTATGATGATCCCAAAGAAATTTTGTTAATACGATTTTTGAACTGCCTAAGGTTAGTAGAACTGGGAAAAGCTTCCTCCCGTAGTTTGTTCCACAATCTAGACACCCTCGGGACAAAGGAGCGGTCGTATCGGCCAGTTCTGGATGTACGAAGTTTGACACGGTTAGGATGGGACGCCGAAGTCAGGCGGGTCTGTCTGGCAGGCACATCGCGCGGCGGCATCATGGAAGAGAGCTCTGAGGAGCAAAGCCCGTTGGTGTAACGGTAGAAAAGAGCCAGATCGCCGACGGCCCGCCGGTGCGAAAGAGTCCCGAGACTGTCTGTTAGAGAAGAGTCATCGATCAGTCGGACCGCCCTCCTCTGGACAGCATCGAGCATGGACAATGTAGTCGGGGTGGCAGCACCCCAAATGTGTGAGCAATACTCGAGGCTAGGCCTTATCTGGGCCTTGTATAGAGTGAGAAGGTCATGCGGAGAAAAGTACTTCTTAGCCCTAAACAAATAGCCTAGCTTTTTCCCAGCAGCTGCAGCTATTGAAGAGATGTGTTCGTGCCAGATCAGGTCCTCGGTGATCTGGACTCCGACCAGCCGAAATGAATGGCTCTTTGGTAGGACTCGACCGTCCATCGAAACTGTATGAGCGCTAGGACGCTTTTTGTTCGTCAAAGTACAGTACTGTGTTTTGGAAGCATTGAACTGTACAAGATTGTTGCGTCCCCAAGCATTGATAGCCTCCAGGTCTCTTGTCAGAGAAGAAGTCGTCGCTAGTCTTCTTTTTTCCAGCTCAGCGGCAGAGATCGGCTTGTCACTCTGAATTCCTGCATGGCATGGTCTTAAAATCACTCAACTTATTCCACAATACTTGATGAACATAAACTAATCCTCTTCTGACACGAAACTACTAAACTAATGTTGAAAAGAATTTGTCTACACATTTTTGTCCTCATAAAAAAGTGCTGATATTCAGACTTGTATTGTCTTCATTGGAGATAATGTAAAAACGAGGAATTTAGTTTTCTACTAATAACGCATTTGTTTATGGAGCAATGAAGTATGAATTCGTTTTCTAAAGGTATTTAGGTAAATATTCATATTTGTCTATATACTTTTGTGCATTACTGTATATGTGCGTGTCGACCACCGTCTTTAGGTGCCAGCGTTGCCTTTTCTCGAACTGTTGCCGATTGTGGGATCTCTTTTATTGTCGTTGAAAACTTTTGGGAATCGTAAATATCAGGAAAAATGTCTTCCGAATAAACAATTTTCTATAAAAGGAAGATGGAGTTCGTTTTTATTACTGTTGAGAGAACCATCGTGACACTACCTGGCAACATGGCTGTGACGTTGGAAATTGTATGTGAACGTCCAAATATAGCATAGGGTTAGGTATCTTCTATCAAATCGCTGCTAAAACATATGAATTGATTATATGGATCACGATAATTTTATACATAATCATTTATTTTCAGGTTTGTTTGGTCCTCTGTTGAAACTGCTAGCAACTCATTTCCCACATCTAACCTTGGTAGAGGACTGGTTAGATGACATGTCTTTCCATACCGAACATAAGCCAGTACATGTGAGTCAGATGGATGTCGTGGAAGCTTTTAGTGATGTTGAAAGACAGCCAGCCAAATGTGCCCGCCTATTGAAGATCCTTCTTCAGCGAGATCCCATAGATGTGTGGCCCCATGTAGAGGTTTGTTATGTGAATAGTTTCATCTTCAGTCTTCGATATATTATGGATATATGTATGCAGGTGTCGCAACATACGCGCCACCTAACTTGAGATTAATGTTGCACTCAGTTATCAAACTGTTAAATACGTCATACCGTCCGTTATTACGCATGGTGTATTCTCCTTACTTGGAAAATATTTTCATTTCTACATAGAGATATCATACCGAGAAGATGATGGAAAATGACAATAGTTCTTCTAAAATGAGGTTCAGCCAGTTGTTATAGAGTTGTGTCACCTTTCCAAATAACTGATAAAGAGTCAACATTTGCTTTGACAGTGAACTTATGATAGCAAATGTAATCCAGTAAAATTTGAAGACATCTATTTCTTATTTGCTGCTTACACCTCAGAAACCCTCATTTTTTCTAACTTCATGGTTCAAAATCTCACAAACAATGCGATGTTTTTGCCTACTATTTAGGTTTTCGACTGTGATGATAAAAGAAACATAAATCGAAATTTACCCACTGCCCTTTGTGAGAAAAACGACATTGTGCATTACTAACAATGCTACTTCAGCATATAGATGACATTTTTAAGATTATTTTTTGTTATAGGTATTTGCTCAGAATGCCAGAAATTTCTTAGGAGATAATGTTGCTAGATATCTACAAGACTTGTATCGCGATTTGTGGTTCAGATTGAACACTGTACTTCCAAGAAGGCTTTGGGTCTTGACAGTTAAAAACCTAGTGGATGATTTTTCCAGTTTGTCAAGGATTGATGTTGCCGAGGATCCATTGCAGGTATTTTTATATTCAGACGTCACGTGATCTCATTAACGAAATAAATTGTGTGGATTCTGTAAAATGAAATTGTTTTTTCTAGATACTGAGATGTGATGAAAGAGTCTTCCGCTGCGCTCCTATATATTCCATTGTACTGAGGGTTTTAAGAGCTAGTTTGGCTTCGTCCAGAAGCCAACTTATGCAGCATCTTCAGTCTAATCTGAGGTTAGACCAATCAGGACAAGTTATGAACGAAAGTGACAGGGAAGATATGTGCCGTGCCTGTATTGCTGCTCAGGTATAAAGTTCTTAAATTAATCATATACGTTTATACACATTGAATAGATAATTTTAGTTTAAACCATTGCTTGTTTATAAAAGGATTGTAGTCTAGTCATATTAGACGGAAATATCCCTGGTTTGCGGAATAATTGTAAAGTTTGGTTTTATTGATGCAAGTTGTTCAAGGAGGTATTTAAAGCATGGACACATAAAATGGGTATACCAATTTTTGTTCGAAAACTTTTTATTCGACAACCAAGAATGAAAAAACTCGTTTTTTGGGATTCAGTCGAACGTGTTGGCAGAAGTGAAGAAACTCTTCAAATAAGATCTTTAGGTATTTATGAGCCCTACAAAATGACACCACACGTAAAAAGATTCGACTAATGGTAAAGAAGCTATGCCCGAAAACCGCGGCAAAATGCAGGTTTTGGCACTTGTTACTAATACGAAGATAATTGAAATTCACATCCGTAGGCTTCATACTTTTAAATAGCCACAACAAGATTGGAGTTGATTGGTCAAGTGTTTTTTGGAATTTCTAAATGTTTATCCCAAAACGACTTTACCTTGCCGACGTGAATCACAAACCATTCCGAAAGATAATTTTTATTTTTATGGGAAAAACCGAAAAACGAAGGGATGCGTTTTTTTTGTTGTTTGTTTGTTGAAGGTTTATTTAGCATTAATGCTACAATCTCAATTTTGTATAATGATTCGGTTACACATTTTCTAAACATTTTCAAACATTTCGTATATGTGAGTAGCTGAAGAGATCCGCTACGATATTCGAAAAACATACGTTATTTTACACATTTTAAAACAAAGCGGATGTGTCTATCACTTTTTGTTATGAAGAAAACCATTTATTTTTCAAGATTTTTTCAAACTCTTGTGTGTATACATATTTACACGTTCGCAGATGAGCCTTGAAGTTTATAAAAAAAATATTCCATACTGAAATCCGCTGAACTGTTTATAAAGTTCGCACTCAAACTGAAGACACAATTATTGTGTTTCAAACTACCTTAGACTAGTTAGTATGTATCGTGTGCTAAATGGCTGCATTTTATTGATGACTGCTGTATGACTTTATCAAATAAGTAGGACACGTAATCCAGTTTCTTTATGAAGAAATATAAATCCCTTTTCTCTTATTTTCCAACATTTTGAACTCGCAGTCGTTTTAATCGAACGAGATTTCGAAAACAGACGTATACTATATTAATACTACTACTAAAAAAGTCTAGGGAATTATAATTATTTCTTCGTAAAGAAACTGGATTACGTGACCTACTCACTTGACAAAGTCACGCAGTCATCAATAATGCAGCCAATTAGCACAAAATGCTACATACGAACTAGTCTGAGACAATTTGAAACATAATTGTCTTCAGTTTGCCTGCTAACTTTATATATATTATATTTTTTTTATAAACTTTACGGCTCATCAGTGACCGTGTAAAAATTTCAGCTCTAAATATGTATAGACAAGAATATGAAGAAATCTTGAAATAAAATTGTATTGTATATGAAATGTTTGAACTTGTTTATAAGAAGAAAACGTAACCCTTCGTTTTTCGCATAAGAATAACAATTATCTTTGAGAATAGTTTGTGATTCAAGTCGGCAAGGTAAATTCGTGTATTCTATAAAGTGCCCTTTGAACGAACCCTGTATATAGGGTGTCCGCAAATTTGGGGTTTTCCTTTACACGACGTGTAGATCTTGAAAACATTAGCAATTTTTCTTAGTACCATATACACCAATGTCTTAAGGGAACCGAGATAAAGGGCTCTGCAACATCAAAAATATCTGAATACCGTCCTGTAGCCGCGACCCGCCGCGATATCCCCGACTGTTACAAGGTCTGAACCCGACGGCAGAACTGGGTCGGGGTCAGTGTGTCAGGTTAGTATGCAACCTTCAACCGACGGTGACAGTCACGCGTGTAGAGGTCAACGAACTCGTATAATCGATTGCGTTTCAAAAAACAACAAGCACTAGAGACGTGGCTAGAGAAGTGCAAATATCAAAAACTAAAGTGTGGCAAACGCTGCGTCCACGTGTACAAGCCCTTCAACCTGACGATTTTCCAGCAAGAGTGCGGTTTTGTGAGTGGTTGTTGCATCAACATGACAATAATGCGGACTTTTTGAAGTGCATATTGGTGACAGACGAATCTACGTTCACGCGTAATGGGGTGAATAACTTTCGCAACACTCATGTTTGGTCATTTTCAACAAACATTTTCGGTGAATGCTTGGGCTGGCATGGTGAACTGTATGCTCATTGGACCATTTATTCTCCCAAATCGATTGGACGGGATGCAATACCTAGACTTTTCACGCAACATTTTGCCTTCCTTGTTAGAAGATGTGCCATTAAGTGTAAGACAATCGATGTGGTTTCTGCGTCTGCTCGGTAGCGCTTCAGCTGATTTCATTTTCTGTTGGAGCGGTATGATTTCGGGCAGAGACGTACTTAGCCCTTCTCGCCAACTGGAGAGTGAGTACTTTTTCCTTTATTTTTTTTTACTTGGTCGCCCTCGTTTCACTACACATTACCTTTGTTATTTCAAGGGTAGTTGTTTCTGAAAAGGAAAACCCCAACTTTGCGGACACCCTGTATTGCTCAGTCAACTAATAGTGATGACCGGAAGACAGGTATGCAGGGTGTCCGCAAAGTTGGGGTTTTCCTTTTCAGAAACAACTACCCTTGAAATAACAAAGGTAATGTGTAGTGAAACGAGGGCGACCAAGTAAAAAAAAATAAAGGAAAAAGTACTCACTCTCCAGTTGGCGAGAAGGGCTAAGTACGTCTCTGCCCGAAATCATACCGCTCCAACAGAAAATGAAATCAGCTGAAGCGCTACCGAGCAGACGCAGAAACCACATTGATTGTCTTACGCTCTTACACTTAATGGCACATCTTCTAACAAGGAAGGCAAAATGTTGCGTGAAAAGTCTAGGTATTCCCGTCCAATCGATTTGGGAGAATAAATGGTCCAATGAGCATACCGTTCACCATTACTGATGCAAGTGATTACTGTGAAAAAGTAACCGATATCGGAACATTTCCCATCTCTGACAAAAAAATTTGAGGTTATGTTCAGGTAATAATGTTTACTTTTGGTTGTGTTTATTTGTCTGATCAAAAATGGATTATAACAGAAAAGACAGGCATTCTAAATATCATCATCGCAAAAGAAAAAGGTCTAGATCTGTCTCACCTAATACTAGTAGAAGAAGCAAACACCATTCCACAGAAGAACCCGATATACAAGTTTACAAGCAGGAATTAGGTAGATTTTTAGAAGATCATGCTAGTGTTACAAGCCCTGATGATTTCTGGAAGTTTTACGAAAAGTACTCGGCAATACAAGCCGTAAAAAAGTCAGATATAGATCGTAATAAACTTTTAAACATAACATTTGCGGAGCCTAATGCAGTATTGTATGATAAGCTACCAGTACTGGATAAAAGGGGTGAAAAAGTGAGAATATCCTATGAGAAATTTGTTAATTTTTTACTGACAGTGAAAGTGTATCAAGATTTCCAACAAAAATCAAATTTTGCTAAAATTAAAAAGCTTAAAGTAAGCCAAAATGAATTACCAATTTCTCAGTATAAGGAAAAGATAATAAATAAATTGAATAGCCATAGGGTGCTTCTTATAGCAGGTAAGTAAACAACAATTTATTCTAAATGATCACAGACAAGGGCGGATTTAGGTTTACATAATTTTACAATCTCAGTGGAAGTTCTAAAATTTATCTCATTGTTGTTCTGTGAATCCATTGTGTTCTATGGTTAATGCCAGCTTGAAAAAGTAACTGTGGAAAACGCTCAGAAATCCTCAGAACTAGTAGACATGTTGTGTGATTTTGGCCTCTGAAACATGTCTCAGGATGTCCATGTAGTCATGTCCATAAAACAAGCCCCATCTACGGGCCTGTTGTGAGACCAAAAATCGCACGTCTATAGTCTCCCGATTGGAATATACATATTTTCACACATTCCGACAGTGTTGACGTCACTCGATGTCTAGAGACAAGACATATCCCAGTTCATTCAACACAAAACAATGTCTTTGATGGCAAAAAGGAACATGGGACTGAAAAATTCACATTATCTATGGATGCTAGAAGAGACGAAGTATCTCTATAGACCATCTATAGATCGTGTGTTGAGACTGTCTCCAGACTGCCTATAGACAAGGTGTGCAACATGGTCTACTAGTGTGTACTAAGCTTAAGGATGAAGACTCTGAACTGCCCATTAAACAAATCAAGTAATTGGTGCAAATACTGACAATCAAGCACTTCTGTTATATCAGCAAATTCAATATAGTTGTTACAGGTATTCTTCAGACTTTCTTTGTCGGACTTACATTTACAGCATGTAAAAATGTTGGAAATTTTTGGAAAAAACTATCTGTTAGATCATAATTAATAGATAATAAATAATACAGGGCTGTACATATTCATGTGTAGTGCAGAAGCTCTGTGATTTAAACCAATTCAAGCTAGCAACATAAATAGTCACATACGCGGGAAGAGATGCAGGAAGTGTGGTATTGACTTTGAGCATCAATCGACGCATTTTCTGGACGGGCCACAGGCGCACCGCTAAATAAATCTCATAAATGTCTATTTCCAGTTTAGGCGTTCAGTTAATATAGTGCTTCGCTCGTCACTTTTCAAATTACTATTGAGTAACAAACAGAACATAAATCACTTTTTAAGGGCAATCTGTGTAGCTAATATAAAGGGTTGTCCAATAGGGACGCAGGAAAGTAAACGTCAATTTGACATAGACGCCATCTTTGTTTTCTGTCACCGACATGTCATTTTGTTAGTTGAATGTTTACCATTGATCGCTATGGAGTCGTATTCGATTGAAGACCGCACTAAAGTTATTCAAGAGCACTACAAAAATGATGCAAAAATAAAAAACACGTTTCGCGCGCTTCGTGAACATTTCGGTCGCAACAACCGCCCAAACGAAACAACCA